GGATTGCGAGCTTTCGTTTGTGGAGATGTACCGAACCAAAACAAAATGAAATAAGCCAATCTATTGCAGTCTAAGTATTCTCGATATTTCAAAAACGTTAATGTACGATTTTTATTACAATGAACTGAAAGCCAATTTTGGTGAAAAAGTAAATTTACTTTACACGGACACTGATTCTCTATTAGTTCAGATCGAGCGAAGCTCACACGATTTAACTGGTTACCTAAACGAAAAGCGCAATTTATTTGACTTTAGTAATTACCCGCCCGATCATCCGCTTTACAGCACCCAAAATAAAAAAGTCATAGGCAAAATGAAAGACGAATTTGGTGGCAAAACAATTTTAGAAGCCGTTTGCATCAGGCCAAAAATGTATTCGATCTTAACTACCGATCAAAAGCGAGCGGCAGCGAGCAACGAGCGAGGCGAGTACTTTTCTTTAAAGAAGGCGAAAGGGGTCTCCAAAGTAGTAACCAAGAAACGGTTAACCCACGAGATGTATAAAAGCTGCCTATTTGACCGGGTTTCTCATTTCAATAAACAACAATTATTTAGATCGGATAAACATTGGGTGTTCACCATTTCACAAAATAAACTTAGTCTGTCACCGTTGGACACAAAGCGCTACATATTACCGAATGGAATCGATACGTTGGCTTACGGGCATAAGCTAATTTGGTAATTCGGTATCCTCGGGTACTACCTGAAGTTCCTCTTTGACGAAACTCCTATTTGGCCCGTTTAATAAATAGTACAAAGTGGGACCCGTTTTGACCCTCTTGCCTTTCACTCGTTTAAATTGACTGGTGCGCTTTTCAATTTGGTAAACGTCCACTGAGCAGATCGGATCCGTCGCCCTTCTGACGGTGCCACCCTCTTGCTCGCCCGGGTAATATAAATACCTAACGACCACGTCTGGAGGAAGTTCTCGCTCGCTCTGCTCGCTCACAGTTGCACTCGGTTCTTGTTTTACTCCACTCGCTAATTTTATAGCTTCTGCAGGAACGGCATCTATTAAATGCGTTTTTTCCTCGTTTAACGATTTCACGACCTGGGGCAAACGTTCTACCCATTCCACGTTTCGCTCACCCACGTTTATCATTTCTTGAGCGTATTGGTGGCCAAATAAACGCTCGGCTAAGGTGCGGTTAAACCTTTCCACGATTCCTTGAGATCTGTGTACCCCTGGTTCACCCACTTGAATTTGTACTTTATTTTTTGTCATTAACTTTTTAAACTCGCCTTTGAATTCAGACCCCGAGTCTACCATTACGAATTTGGGCCAGGTTAGAGGTGATCACTCGTAAATTTTCTTGGTCGCTTCGCTCACTTGCTCGGCGGTTTTACTGGTCAACGATTCTGCCTCTTTATACCGCGAACCCACATCTACCACGGTCAAAGCGTATTTAAACGTTTTTCTTTTAACGCGGTCTCAGGGTAAATAAAGTACGTCCATTTGATGCGCGTAGTTAGGTTCGACCGATTCTGATTGCAACATTGTAGGCCTTGGTACGTAATGTGGTTTTGGTAAATATATTTGCCAAATGGCCTGCTTTTTTAGCCATTTTCTAATAACTGATTTGTCCGCACCGGTCTTTTCGTGTAGACGACCCACCGCGCTTTCTCCTCGCCAGTAACCCTGTGGGCTGTAAAATAGTTTTTTAAATTTTCTCTCCATTTTAAAATAAGTTACGCAAATCGATAAGCTAACAACCCCACCAAGGCCGTACCGCCTAAAATCCAAACAAACTCGCGAATTTTTTGATCTTCGGAAGGCTCGTAAAAATCGGACAACTTAGGCTCTGGCGGTAACGGGGTAATACTCTTACCGGTCAATTCCGAATAAGCTCGTAAGGCTTCGTCTACGTTTACAAATGTCTGCTGACTCGCGCGTTCTTGTCGCATTCGTTCGTTTAAAAAGTCTAGCATGTGTACGCGGTTTTGTTCCCAGGATTCCTTCGCTTGCGCCAGTTGTTCAAACGCGAGGTCGTGTCGCTTT